CATTTGCATTTTGAAGTCTACGAACTATTTCAAGTCTAGGTCGTCATGCATTCCACGAAGTAAGGCGCGCCAACTAATAAATCCTTTGCTTCATTGATATTTTAGAGGTATTTCCTGGTCGTAAATGAGGTCAATACAACACTGTGCTCATGAAAATTTTAACAAGGTTTGCAGTCAAGTTTTAACTCTATCTTAAATAAACAAAAAACCCAACCGCGTCACCCACAATTGTGTGTCGTAAGTGAGCTCGCTGCCGGTGGTAGGCGTTCGATTAATCGTTCGTAGATGGAGTCAGGAGGTCAGCTGGTAATTTTCAGAAAAGGACAGCATTTTTCACGAAAACCAAGGCACACTCCTCGTGACGCGCAACAACTTGTTTTGTGGTATTTGGAAATGAGAACGCTATTACTGACAAATCGCAGACTTAGCTAGCAGAAGCGCAATTCATGATTAGTCAATTTCATAGTACATACAGGCTTTCGCTTATAATTCTATGAGAGCGTACATTGCTTGAGTCGCCGTCTGGACTTTAGCCACTACATTACTAACCTATAAACTTAATGTCGATGAAGGACCCATACACTTATAATTAAATTTTTAAGCCTAGTCGTAAAAACTTAACCTCAAGGTTTTGGAAGCAATTGCTTTTTGCCGTATAAATAGCGATACCTTATTGCGGCACAATTAAATAGCTGCACAGTGCGCTCAAAATACAATCCTTTAGGTGAAAATTGAAAACGAGTGATGACTATGAGACGTACTTCGTGAAATAAGCCCCTGGTGACAACTCTAACATATACTCGGTGCCTTTTGCACTCCTAAACTTTAATGCACGGGTCATCCACTCATTTAAACGTTGGAAATACTGCGTCTTTAGTAAACCATCGCGAGCGTCAAAAACCGAGTGACTTTAGCTACCATACCGCCTATTAACAAGGAAGACGAAGCGGTATTTACTGGGCTTAAAAGTTGGGTGTAGTGTCTTTGGCAGCATAAATTTTACATCGCTAGTAACGGTACCGACCTTTTTACCGTCCCATTAAATCTTGGCAACCACCTGAACCTCTAACTGTGATAACCAGCATCACGAGGAAGCACAGCTTAGAGAGCATATTATATATCTGCCAGAAATTATGACTGCCTGTTACATGTGGCTCAACTTAACTTTCACCGGCATTATGGCGAACCTACAGCTCTTTCTAAAGGGCTACTGTAATTTATTTTATTCTCGATTGACTTCTGGCATGCTGCAGCGGTATCGCCACTAGGATGAGGCGTCGTCCCTCACAGCTAAACGTCCATAGTTTAACGGTTGTTTGAGCAGTATACAAATTGTCTCGTTGGGATAATGTGGTGGGTCAAGGTCACAGCTTTTCTGTATCCAACATTATAAAATCCAATAAGGCGATGTCATCAGATATACCAAACGCAATCAGAGGGTCGTCTCGAAGAACGATAAATTTAGCCCAGCCCTTAAAAAACATAATGTATGTTCTCGACGCTCTTCCTCCAGTGTAACTTCTACTAAGAATAGTTTTGTAAGCATTTTTAATAAAGCTAATTAAAAAAATTAACTTATCAAGATTTGCAATTCAAGAGTTAATATTATTAGCGCTTTCCTTCTTTTTCTTTCTTTTACGTTTTAAAATTTAATTTTTATAAATTTTGTTTAAATTCTTGGTGTTTTGCGAGTGTGTTAAACCTTGTAATTACCAGATATATGATCTCAAAAGGGTGTAATTATGAGTTATTGTAAATAACACTGCCATCAGCTTAGAATACAAGAAAATTTGGGTAGTATTAAAAATGTAACAGTTTTCATCAGGATCTATAAGGAGCCTCTGATCAAGTAGTTGAAGATTTGTTAGTTTTATACCTACAAGCGCCATGAAGAATCCATTAATAAGAAAGGACTCCTAAAAAACGTCCAGAACGTACATTATCAAACTTTAGTTCAGAGATCTTTATTGTTTGATAGGCAACAAGCTAAAGACACTATACGAATAGTATTATTTACTAGCACACACATTGAGCCGGCACCCTTAAGGTCTAACCAGAGTTAGTAGATAGTGCATGTATCTCGTGCATTGAGTAAGTACTAAGTGGTTGCACTATTTAAATTGCATTATTACCCACGTATTAAACAAAAAAAAACGTCTTTTTCATCATTACATATGTGTAGAATCCTTTAAGTCTTCCTTTTCAAAAAATTTTCTGTACAAGCGGATAAAAAATGTGATGTAGATTTAATTTTTTAAACCAAATATACATTATGTACCTTTCAATGAAGGTTGTTATCAATAATAACACTGATGTATTCGACTTGGTTATTCCAGGTGAGAAGAATATGAAAAAGATATGTCTTATAGTACCTTTTTCTTTCTTTTTTTTTGAGATAAGTATGGCGTGCTTTTAAAAGGATTAACCCGATACTTTCCATGTTGTTGAACAATCTTCAAATAAGTTAAGGTAGAGTTGCATATATTCGAGATTTTGAGCTAATGAAAATAACAGTATCATCTGCATTCAACTCCAAGGAAGTTTGAGCGGAAAGGTAAGGTATGTCAGATATAAATAATGAGAATAAAACAGAGGCAAAAAGGACCCGAGAGGCGCCGGCCTTAGGTAGTTAAGTAATCGGATAGTTCAATTCCTGCACGGATCTACCGCCGAGGTATGACTATAATTCGTAGCAAAAATGGTGGGGGATAATGAAGATTCGGTCATTTCATGTTCGAGACGCATGTCTAAGCTGTAGCAGTAGATTTCTCATAATTGAGGAAGTTAGTTGTGTTTTCCACCAACCTTAATATTTTTTGTTGAGCGGAAAAGCGCTTTTCGAATCCAAACTGATAAGCTGGAATTAGGCTTTCATCATCCAAAATTTTTTGCAACCTTAAAAGAAGCACAGCCTCTAAGGCTTTTCATAAACAGAAAAGTAGGCTAATAGGGTGTGATTCTTTGGTGTTGTTCTCGGACAAGATGTTTTCGGCATAATGGCAACTTCAGTTTACTCACATCTTAAAAAAAAATATCCATGGGTATTAACCGAGTTAATGAGCTCTGCAAGATAATTAATTGCTACTATAGGAAGATTTTTAAGCATTGAAGTTGTACTTTTTCTCGACCTACTGTCTTCCTAGTGTTGGTTTGTCAATTATAGATTGTATCTCATAACTTTTCGTAAAAGCTTCCAAAGTGAGTAGTGGGCTTTTATAGTAGAAATAAAGTGAAATTAGCTCTTGTATGTGTGCTTCGTGTTCACAGTCCGCCGATAAAGGTGTCGTACATTGTCGGCACATAATATTAGCAGAGACGCTGACTTTCTTCGCAATTTGCGTAGATAGCTTCCTTTTTTTTCCAGGTTTGAACACAGTTGTCATTTTACACAAAGTTTTATCGGTTAGAGTTAAGGATTGCTATTTTATTTCTGTATTATGTTTCATAAAGCGCGCAACTCTCGTTTAACAATATTACTAATCTTTTAAAAGGCCAACTTATCCCTAGCCTGCCTTTCCATGTATTGTCTCTTAAGAAGCATCTTTTATTAATGTTTTTTAATTTGGGGGGGTATTAAGTTTTAAGGTTTTATAAGATTTAAAGTTAATTGCGTACTTTAATGAATTGGTAACGGAGCATTCAAAGACAGAAGAGTCCCTGTTTCGGAATAAGGACCCTTACTTTATTAAATAAAGAGTTATAATATAATTGATATATTGGTACATTTTGGATTATATTTAATTAATTAATGATGATACGAAAAAGTTGTGACTCCATACCAGGACGCTAAAGTTCAAAGCAGCTCTATCAATGTCATGTTTATTAAAAACAGCGTGAGAGTTTTACACGTGTTGTGAGGGGCCACTCAGTATTAAATTTTTCTCTTTGTTTTCTAATTTTAAAGTAGAAAAGTCTACACTGCAGAGACGAAAGAATTTACGTGTACCTTCAAATTTTTATACAAACTGAAACTCGCGGCCTGTCTGCAATTATAGTTTTAAAAAAATTGGATTTGAACCGACTAACCTGGTCTGGTCTACAAAATAAACTATACTTTACTAATCTTGACTGTTTAGCGGAAACCGACTTGATAAAATAAACTTAATTACCATTACACTTAGAGTCGTTATTTAAAATAATACTCCATTACAACCAAAAATATAAAAAATTTGTTAAAGTACAATATCGTTGTTTTAAATAATGTTAGGTAAGGCAAATAACTATAACAGTTTAAAGTTAGTTTACTTTTTTATTTAAATTAGAAAGTAAAAGCAAACAATTTTGAACTTAAAAAATCCACCAAAATTGTTCTAAAAAACTATAAGAATTAAGAAAAGCTTACTTACCTTTTGTATAGTAACAGAATTACAAAATTCTATAAAGAATACACATTAAGGAAAGCAAGTTAGATCAAGGATAATAACAGGAATATGATAAATAGGTATGTTTTAAACAATAATTGCATGGCTAACTGTATAATTGTCACATGGAGATTTACTGCATAGCCATTTTGCTTTAACCCTCGAACCTATGAACTTTTTATGTAAACTACAATAGCTTATTGATATCTTAAATGTCACTCAGGGCACGAAACCGCGTCATAGAATTTGTTTTATTATCAATGCGCGTGCAGTACCATTGCTAAATATTAAATATTTTAGCCGATTTGTTGATTATTTTTTTTCGTGAAACCCACATATCACTTGTTTTTTTTATTGTTTTTCACCTAATTCTATTTCTTTCGTAAAATAATGCCTTTTGGAGACAAACGCCATGTAACAAAAGTTGACATTGAAGACCACGTGCATCGTTAAGGTTGGCTTAGTCTTTGATTTCATCAGGAGCCTTATGCATCTTTTTTTTTAAAGCCTTAATTGGAAAGAAAAGAAATTTGACAGTTTCCTGGTGGTTTTAATTTATATGCCCTCGTGCGGTCTCTTTAACACTTTCCTACTGCGCACTGCGTGTGCTGTGCTGTCTTACGTCCATTCCACTGTATCGCTCGATACTGTCTTGTATGAATTTCCAGTGTTATTGTAATAAATAAATTTCATAATAAATTTAGCTTAATCGCTTTTTTTTAAGATTGTTAAAAAAGTAAGCTCTTCTAAGTTAAAGGATTTTTTTACCTTATTGCCCTAATGGAAACCTCTACAAATCATAGACCAGCAACGAGTATTCGACATTATTATTTTGTTTTATAATTCTGTATTGATTCCTTTTCTGTTTTAAGTTATATGTATTATCATTCTTTTTGAAAAAATATAAGTAATATTTTATATGTTATATGTTTTAAGCTGAAACCTTTGGCGGCGGTGAGAAGAATTATTTACGAACTTTTAATAATTCGTTGGGAGCGGCTGACTACACTTCTGGCGATCTTGACGATTTTGAGTCTCGGCCACGTCATAAGCCCCGAACAGTGTCTAGTAGGAACCTCTCGCCTGAGAACAACTATCCGTATTTAATTAACTACTCTGTGCTCATTTTCGTCAAAATGGTTCACCATTATTTTATATTGAACAAAAAAAACCTTTGACCCCTTAAACACAGTGACACTGAAACTCGTGTATGGGATCGAGATAGGAACGATTCTTCAATAGAGCATAGGTATTTTATATCTTATACCATCCTTGTTGGCGCTTATTTTATTTCGTTGGGGGCGGTGTTTATTTTTTTAAGGAACCGCCATTGTAGCGAAAAAGGAAGAAACCGCGACAGGAATAAAGATAGAGAACGCGATGGTTTTTATAAAGAGCACCGAACAGACCGAAACCGGTCGCCCAGGGAAAGGTACAGCTCTCACGAAAAGACACGGGACTCCTCGAGATATCACGATAGACGCGATGAAAGAAGATCTTGTGAATTGAAATATAAAAAGGAGGTTCTTTGAATTTTTTAACTTTTCAATATTTATGTTTGTTTTTATTTTCACTTTAAAAAAAAAGCCGCCGATTCCCTCGCATGTAGTGATGTTGAAGGGGTTGAGTACTCGAACTACTGAAGATGACGTTAATTTCTATCAATATCTTTTCAGCTTTGTATGCCAAGTTTGCTTTTATTCGGAATTAGATAAGAGCCATTATTGCCACCAATTTATATTCTCTTGAGGATGTCCGCGTTATTAGAGATCGCATAACAGGCTAGTTAATGGATTTTTAAAAAAGTATCGCTTTGCAAAGTTTTGAGAATTTCTTGCAGGTGAATCGAGGGGCTTTGCTTTCGCGGATTTTAGTACCGTTGAAAATGCAAAGAAGTGGATAGAAGATAATCAAGGTGAAACTGGCTTCCTTTCTTTTTATTAGAATTGCGTCTATTTAAACTTTTTAAGGGTCCATCCGTATCGATGGGGTTTCGGTCCGCATTGAGTTTAGTAAAAGCGTTGAGCGAAGAGATGAAGATTGGATGTGTTTTAGAGTTCATATTCATTTAAAAAAAAAAAATTAAGAAAACGTTAATTATTTTTTTTAGTGTAAAACTACTAATTTTAAGCGCCGAGAATTTTGTTTTAGTTGCTCAGCTCCTAAAGATTTAGGTTTAGAAATCTTATGTGACGTCAATTAATTTTATTTATTGTGCTCACTTTAGAACAAGTCATACCACTTAACGATGGAGAGATTGATATCGGAGTCAATGAAAACAACATTTTGTTAATTCGTGGTTTGACTAAAAACACAACCGCTGAAGATGTTTGTTTTTATATGAAATTGTGGTGATTTTATTAATTTTTTTATTTAGATTAGCGTCATTTCTATACGCTTTGGCATCGGCATTAGAGACATTCGACTTATTAAAGATAAAAAAACTGACCAAAGTCAGGGCTTTGCGTTTTTCTTTTTTGATTCAGTCGAGGTTTTATTATAAATTAATTTATATAACTTGGATTTACATATACATATTAATTTAGCTGGCCAAACAGTTTCTGTTGAAAACTAATGGCCAAATGTCTTTGGATGGGCAGACTTGCGCTATTACTTTTGCATCTGAGCAGTCTTTTGTTACGCAGCAGCTGTTAGGGTATCACTTTTAAATCTCTTTTTCAAGCGCAAATGTGACATCCACTCTCTTCAGTGCCGCAGCAGCCGCAGCAGCCATGTGCGCCGCGCAGACGGCTAAGGCAGTAATTCCTGGCCCTTGGTACAGAGACGAGGCTTTGTATGCTGGCAAGTGGCTCTTTATAAATTTTTTTTTTCTTTGTGAGTGAAAGATATTAATATTTAATTTGTTTAGATTCCATTGCTACTTACCTGGAGGCGCAGCAACGGCAGCTGACGCCTTCTCCAGAGATGCCTCCACTTTTTCCTGGTTGGCTGAGTTTGCGTGTCTTTTATTTATGTTTTTGTTCTACTCAGCATCTCTATAGCCCCCGACATCCGCGTTGACCCCAATACTGGATACAGCTATGAAGCCCGAACGGGTTCTAATCGGCTGTTTATTTTTTATATAGTTTGGTCACTTGGTTTGCAGGGTTTTACTACGATCCGCTTTCTCAGTACTTTTATAACTCTCAAAGCCAGACATATCTCTACTACGATGCTGTGTCGTACAAGTACGTGGCGGTTTCCTCTGCTCTTCCCACCAATCGTATGCTGTTATTTATGTTTTATAGCTTTTTAATGGTTTGTTGACGCCAACAACTTATAGAATCGGAGACAGCTTCTGAGACGCCGGACGGTGGGGCCCTCCAGACCGACACTGAAGGAGGAGTGCTTGTTCAAGCCTCTCAGCCGCAGGAGATGAGTGCCGTCCCCGACTCCAAAAAAGTACTAATAACGATGGTGCTGTCCCGTAGCAGAGGGGGTCTTCCCGTTTTGTGCAGGTTGTGGATGATATTAAGAAGTGGGAAAAGCAGCAGAGAAAACTAAAAAAGAAGATTGAGAAAGAAAAACTTCGCCAGCAGCAGCAGCAGCAACAGCAGCAACAGCCGGCAAGCGAGGCCTCCTTACCCTTCTCCGCGCAACACTCGCTCACTTCCCCGTCTGCCAACGTGGCGTCTTCTGTGGAGGGTAATTCCCACCCCTACACTCTGTCAACGCTCGCAGCTGGAGCTGTGGAGCCCTTAGCACAAGTCTCTGCGGCAGATGCGCCTGACTTTGTGCGTAGTCATGTGGTTCCCTGGCTTTTTACCTGTTTACTATCACGAGGCTGTCTTAGGAGCTTCGAGCGGAGATTATCGAGCAGCTCCACGCGTTGTATCTGAACTTTGATCTCCTGCAGTGCTTACTCTGCCAGAAGAAACTTAAAACAGCCGACCTCTTGCGTAAGCATGCCTCTATGTCGAAGCTCCATTTGGTCTGTATACACGTAGTACTGTATTGCGGCGCAAGTTGATTGACTTTTTATCTGTGCAGAGCAATCTGGAGCCCAAAGTTACTGAGATGTATGCCGAGTTTCAAGTCACCAATCGCCAGAAGGCAATTTTTGCTTGCTTTATATTATATGCCTTTTTTCTAAGCGCTACTTAGGAGGGCTACAGGGACCGCGCCGCAGAAAGGCGGATGATCTTTGGGCAGCCTGCGCATCCCGTTCGCACATATCCTCGTCGCGTTTCGGGAGGGCACAAGGTCTCTACTGCCGGAAAAAAGAAGTCACCCGAGACGGAACTTCAGACGTAACCAGCGGCTTGGACGGGCTCGCTTATAACCCTGCCTGACTTCGGGTTTCTGCTTTTCTATGACTCCAGGACAAGTAAGGCGCTAGACGAAACCAATAAGGGGAACAAAATGCTTAGAAGTATGGGCTGGGTCGAGGGCACCGGTCTGGGCAAGCGGGGGCAGGGCATCACTATCCCCATCGAGGTCACCCTATACAGGCCACTTCTTCCTGCTATGCGCCTCAGTTGACTCCTTCTGTCCCGCGAATAGGCTACCGTGCTTTCGCAGGGGGTCGGCTTGGGCAGTGCTAGTCTCAGCTACGGCATTTCAGTGTCCGACTCGTACCACGAAAAGGCAAAAAAGATTTCGAGGGCGCGATATGAAGCTCTGCAATGAAGGAAAACAGGCGCGTTATCTTTCGTTTCGCGCCAGCATCGACACAGAAAATTTATTTTTAATAAAAAATGGCTTCGCAGGGTTTTTAGTGAAATATTTATTAATGGTCATGAAGTTGCATAATCCATAGGTCAATGATAAAACCCCGTTCACTACCTATTACTAAATAAATATTGCAATACTATAACACTCATGAAACTCTTAAGGACAAGTAAAGATTTCCGGAAATACTTAACTATTCGTTTTTCTTTTATTGGCCGATTAGTTTAGCTTCTTCTCGCTGTAATATGGTAGAATAAATATGTAAAAGGCAGGAGATAGAGCTATACTTACCAGGGGGAGGTGGGGCAGCCGCCTTAATACCTCTTGTTCGCCCCATCGTCCCACTAGAAAACTTCATATTTACGCAATTTCCGACCTTTGAACCACTAGCATAATCCTGAAAAGAAAAAATGGGAAGTAAAAAAGCTGGCATGTCATAATAAAACCTTTGGGCCAAGCACAAAAGGCGGTGGAGGCGGTAAGGAAGTAGTGCTCATGAATGTCCACTTCTCAGTAGACTGCGGGTTGAGGCCCGTCGTGATGGACTTTCGAGTATTTGCCGCAGCCTCTTCCGGTTTTTGCCCTTTCAGTTATATGACAGAGCTTTTGGGTTAGAACAAAAGTGTGACGCTTACCTACGAATGGCGATGCAGGTGCCTGTCGCCTTGCTTTTTAAGAAAAATAAGTTATTAAAGGCATGAAGGAAGATATACAGTCAGACGTATAGTTTAATAAAAACTTAACTAAAAAGAAAGACTTACTCGAAGATGAGCGGGGAATAAAACTTCTGTTTGGAACTTCCGGTTTTTGGCCGGTGTTCGATGCTGCCGAGGTCGCCATTTCGAGCATAGTAGGGGATCTCTGAGGCTTAGTAGGAGCCAATGTGGCGAATTTAGAAGAAGAAACTCGTGGTGGGACTCTGGGAGGATTTAAGGGGGGCTGGGAGAAGTTGCTGCCGGTTGATACAACGGGGGGGCTTCTATCCACTCCCATAGGCCGGTAATTTTCCGCATCCTGTTCCTCTGGTCTATTAATAGACGGCCTTGAAGGTGGCTTATAAGGCCCCGGAGGGAGGGAAGGTCTTGGAGGCGGTGCACGAGAAGGCGGCTCGGGTGTCCCAGCTTGTGGAGGGGTTGAAGTCTGCTGAGGAGTTGTACGGCTTGGAATAGGAGGTGCTCCGCCTGTAGGGGGTTTCATGGTAACAGGTGGTTTAGGAGGCCAAAGCTGTGACTCGCCTTGAGGAATCGTACGAGGGGGAGGGCGGTCTACAGACGGCTTTCGAGGGGCTTCACGATTTGCGAAAGGAGGTCTTGACGAAATATTAATCGGGGGTTTGGGCGCTAATCGATCATGTTCCCGGCTAGGAATCGAAGGTGCAGCTCCAGTAAAAGGTTTAGGGGTTATGGAAGGAGGCGCGGATGGCCCGCCTTGAGGTGTAGGATGGAGTGGAGGGCGGTCTACAGACGGCTTTCGAGGAACTTCACGATTTGCAAGAGGAGGTCTTGACGGGATATCCACAGGAGGTTTGGGCGCTGGTCGATCAGCGTCCGCTTTATGTGGTGAAAAGGGTGTCTCCCGACTAGGAATAGACGATGTGGCTCCAGTAAAAATTTTGGGGGTTATAGGTGGCTTAGGGGGAGGCGCGGATGGCTCACCTTTAGGTGTAGGATGGAGTGGAGGACGATCCACAGATGGCTTTCGAGGAACTTCACGATTTGCAAAAGGAGGTCTCAGAGGGATGTTCCCAGGGGGCCTGGGCACCTGTGAGTTAGTATCCGTTTGTTTATCTACAGAAGATGGTTTAAACGGTGGTTTAGAAATAGTTGTCTTTGAAGAGGCTGCAGTTGAAGGTCCAGTTTTTGCGGAAGAGGAAGTACCCGTTTTTCTAAGGGTTGGCATTCCTCCAGCAAAGAGACCCCCAAGTTTTTGCCCTGAAGAGCCAACGCCAGAATCCTTTCCAGATTTGGAATCAGCTCCAGCTGAAGTTGATTTTTCAATAGAGGGCGCAGATTTATCAACAGTAACAGTCTTTTTAAGCTTTGTTCCTTGCTGAATGCTGGAAAGGAGATTCGCTCTAGAAGCATCTGGTTTAGAGGGACTTTTCTGGGTAGTGGGGGGAAGTGAGACAGGAGGAGGAGGAGGCGGTGGTGGTGGCGCGGGAGGCATAACAATATGAAGTGCTCTGTTTACAAGTTAGTTATAAATTTTGATTAAAATAATAAAAGATTTGTAACATATTACAGTCCTACAACTTATTGACTAAACTTATTTTGAAAAAAAATTGGTATTTAAAAATATAGAGAGCTATTAATATTACTAATAAATTTTTTAAAACTAAAATAAAATAACAGTATGTAGTTTTATTAGATAACTTTTTTTTTAATAAAGAGCAAAATTTATTACTTACAATATGATATTTTCCCTTCCAAAATTTTTTCTAAAATAGCTACAATACTTGTAAGAGCTCGGCTTTAAAACATATACTATCGCCCACTTTACATACTCAAAAAAAAAGAAAGGATGACTGCCGCACTTTCAGGCGTAGATACTTCATGCCTCCTATGGAGATGTTTCCAAGAAAGCTTTTTAAACGCACCAATGAGCATAACATGGCCAGTTTGTGAACGGTCTTTGCAGTTGCGATCTTATTAAAATGAGGTTGCTCTTATAAGTAACTTAGCTTAGTGTAATATTTTAATATTTGAAAGAGTAATGTCTTGTCAGTTTTGCATAAAAATTACTTTTTTGAAACAACATTGTTATTATCAACTAATCTCACAATTGAGCAAACAAAGAATAGATAAAGTTTTAATACATTTATTTTATTACGCGAAATTTAGTAAAAAGCTTGCTGTTAGCTCTGGTAATTTTTTTTCTAGCTCTTGCAAAATAAAACCTTTGACGTTGGGAGCCCATATGAATTTTAAGCTTAAAAGACATATTACTGTCTTACTCCACATAACACGTTCATGATAGCTATTTTGAAACAAGTTATACAACCACAAATGTCTGACGAATAGTAAAGTAGCCAGATATATCTTAAAATATTTTAAAAATAACATATAAAGTTGCTGTTGTAAGTGCACGCTCGTTATACTCATTTTTTTTAAAAAAGTGCTTTAAATACAGTACATTATATTCTTGAGCTCCTAAACAAGTTAGTAACCCAGAATTACAGAGGGAAATTGTAGTAGCCCTTGCACGGTTCTACTTAGGCGGTTTTTGTTAGTCCTATAGAAAACTCAAATCTTTTTTCACCAGAAGATATTTAAATAATTAGTACGACTAATAGTAAGATATTAGACTTAAAAGGAATTTTAATAATAGAAGAGTTGAATTTTTTTTTTGTCTAGTGGGAATTTAGATACTTTGCAATGCTAAAGGTTAGCACTGCACACAATTAATTTTTAAAATTAATTACTTTTGATCTCTTCTTTTTAAAAAACTTCCTTAAAAAAATACAGAAGGTATCTTTTAATTAAATCTTAAAGTCAATAAAAAGTTCAATATTTTGTTAAAAAAATTAATATTGTTATTTTTATTACTTTTGTTTTTCTATGTTTTTTGATTTAAGCAAACTATCACGGAAAAAGTTAAAAGTCCTGGTTTTCGGTTTTACAAAATCCTGCGACTTAACTTTAAACAACAGTATGAGTTATTTATATTTCCGAGTTTGGAGTGTATTAACTTTTCAGTTTAAATTTCATGTTAAGCTTTACATTTTTAGACATCAGGTATTTTGTCGCAGCATTCACACTGTAAAAATAATTAAGAATTATTTGGTTTTAAATTACTGCAATTTTTCTTTGAATTCACAAACATAATATTGGTGGTTAGGAGTACTGCTAATTCATTTGTATTACTTGGAGCAGTTAAATCATCAGGGAGGCAACTTTATTTGAAACGAGTGGCTACCCTACGCTTTTATTTCAAGTGTGCAGAAATCTTTATTTTCTCTTTATACTAATATATTTGAAAGTGATATCTTAAAGCCTAATAATAAATTTAAGGCTCTACGAACGACTAAGAACAGAATTTCTGAGCTGATATAGAAATAATAGACTAAATATTAGTCAATGTTAGTGTTAAAGTAACTATAAAAAAATTCATTTCTCATTATTTAAAATTTTTAACAAAAAATAGAGTCGCTCTTAGCTTTTAAAGTTGGGTTTTCTCTTCACTTTCTAAGTTTGTGAAATTATTACTTCGCTATTGCGAGAAAAAATGAGCGAATACTCCTTGGAATTTTTGTCATTGCTGCCAGTCGATCTTGTTACTAACAAAATTTTACAAAATCAAACTTTCCAATTTGCTTATAAAACTCTTTTAATAATAGTAGGTTATAATAGTTGAGGAAAACATATAAGAAAAATGAAATCATAAGATAAAACATTATAAGTTGAATTATGTAAAAAAAGTCAAGAACAGAAACAGCTACAAACTATTGAAACATGATATAGCCTTTATTATTAGTATTATAAATTATTATTGCAGATTCTCGGTGTATTCGAGCGCAGACTTTTTTGTTGTAATAAGAATTATATTATTTTGCGTATTTCGTATTCAGTTTGCGCAATCATTATCTTATAAATATACATATTTATGTCTATAGATTTGCAAACAGTAAGTGTATGCCCAAAGCGCATCAAGGGGTCTTCTTGTGGCTCTCCAAGTTCGTGTAGATTCGTATGTAAATCTTTAAATAATATATGAAAGAGGCAGTAGTTGTATTTTTAAAAAAGACTGCGCACCAATAGCTTGTTTGTTGCGTCTGCAGAAGTAATCGTCAGTAGTTTGTCGCATTGTTATTCCTTAATGGCATTATGAGAGGTAGTGGTTGGAAAAAGCGTAATTGTATATATATTCAAGGTAAGAATAGATGTGTAGAAATTTATTAGACAGTATATTTGACATAGAGTAAATAGACTGTTACACATACCACTACATATTCTACCAAAAAAAACAAAGAGCAGGAAAATTTAGATATCCTGCGGTTTGTCTTCTATAATGTTAACTTGCTTAAGAAATAAATGCTCGTAACCAGCAGTATTATCAAAGACAAATGCGTTGACCATAATTAGGGTGCAAGAGTATTTTACTACAAACGCAATTTATTTCACTTTTTTTTACATAGCAATGGGTTAAGTGCGTGGACTGAAGCTAAGGTAGTCCCTCGTCGGTGTGACCACCCAAGAATTTGACTAGGCAGGGGATTGTACAGTGCATCTTAACGAAGAGATCTGATTTTCTCAGCATAATAGTTAGCCTCCCTTGTCGGCACCAGTTAGGAAATCTTTCCGAGTTTCGGTTAACGTTGTAGATGTCTCCGTAATAATAAGGGGTTGTTTATAAAGACGTAAACTGCAATGTCCGGCAAGTGCGACGCCGGTGTGAGAACTCGTCGGGTATGAAATGCCCTACATGCACATCGCGAAGAGCGAGATGAAAACAGAGAGCCTTGCAAAACAACAACTGTGAATTAAACCTATGACGAGGCACAATGCCAATTCTCACTCGAAACATGCGTCTAGGTAGAAAGGACGCGGATATTATAGAGTGCTAACGGGACACTTAATGCACAAAATTTGCGTAGCGTTGAAGGCTTTGTCAATGTATAGAAAGACACCCTAGTGAATCTCCTAATTTGAAGTTCCCAGTTGTTGACTCAAGCAAAAAGTTGTTGTGTCAACGAGTGAACCTCTTCAATATTCATATTCTGGAAGCGATTAGAGTAGAATAGTTCTACAGTTTTGCCAATTGCTGAAAGTAGGTGGTGAGGCCCACGAAGTTTTGGGTTGCCACATAACAGTGGCTATATTCAATAGTCTTGGGGAGGAGCCAAGCGACATGGCAAAGATTATAAATCAGGTGATGGTTAACCACCGAAAGCGACAACTTTTTAAGGATGTTAAGAATGATGGTGGAGCCGAGTGCTTTCTCTCGCAAAGTGCAGAGACGATTTCCTCAGCATTCCTCTGTAACAGCGGCTAAGCATGTCAATAACCAGCGTTAACAAATTAGGTTACTGTCTTTCTCTACTAAGAAACTACTTTGGCAGTTTTCAATAAAACTTAATTTTTGTAAAGAAAATTGCCGGAGAAATATATTTGTTGTAATCCTTCTTTAAAAAGCTTCTTTAGTAATTAAAAAACAGTATGAAGGCAAAAAAGTTTATTTTTCTAAATTTTCAAATTTTTATCGTTAATTTTTTTATCAATATTAACTATTGAATTTAGAAAGTTCAAGCGGTATTCTTTCCAAGTATTATCATTAACGTTATTAATTTCTGAAACTAGTTGGTTATGTAATTGTAAAGCGTATTCATTAAATTTATTAATTTGTGGATTTGAAAGAAATTGAAACTGACAAGTTGAGGGTTCAAAGAAACTTTCGATTGCTTTCACCAACTTTTCTTTTAAATTAATTTCAGTTGATTCCATAAATGCTTCAAATAAAGACTCGCAAAATCTTGAATTTTGAAGTTTATATAGAAAAGCAGAGTTTGGTGAAGCAAAATATTTCTATAAGCAGAATTTTAGTTGATAAATAGTAATATTAATTAATAATACTCTAAAATAATAATAAAATATAAAAATACCTGGTTTTATAAAAAATTAATGCTTTATTGTAAAATGTATTACCTCTTCTTCATAAATATCCCTTAATAGGTCAATAAATTTAACTTTGGATTTCATTCTTGCGCATTTAAATATTCGATTGAGTAATTTTATTGACAACCGCTGGACGAATTTTTTTTGAAGAGGAAGATTTCCGCGTAAAATTGCTCCAAGCGCAAAGAACAGGTGATCGGACTTGTTATTATTAAAATTATGGCAACTTTTGAAATCGACACCAATTTTAAAAATTAATTGATTAAGAAGTGAGTATAATATAAGGGACCCGTCTAAATTTTGAATGGTTTTTTGGACAACAGGGTTACTAAAAAGTTAAGATTTAAAAAATTATTTACTTAAGGAGGTTAGATAACGAAATTTTGTTTATTTTTTTGTAAAAAAATTTAAAGTACTTCTGCGCTGCAGAGCCTATTGCCTGGGAGGCCAAGATTTTTTGGTTTAAGGAAAACCGATTATCTTTAAGAAGATTAAAAAGAAGTTCTATGCCTCCAAAATAATTAAAGTGGACGGCAACGTCAAAATGGTTAAGAGCATCAACTAAATCTGAATGTTAAAGGCATATAAGAACATGGGGGCAACTCTTATTATTTACTCAAAATAGTTACATTTTAAAATTTTATTAATAATGGCATCATTTTCACTCCACAAAGAAGAAGACCACTGGAGCCTAACATTTTCTGCGTTTAAATTATGTGAACTCCTTTGAATAATACTTTTTACAAGATTATTCTAGGAATTCCACATTAAAAATAAAAATAGTTGGTTTCGTTTAAAGATCGTTAACCTCTTGTAATATAATATATTTTAATTTAGTAGAAACTTCGCTTAATGCCTTAATTATAAAAATGTTAAGAGATTATTTTTTTAAGAGAAAAAGTGGAAAAGTTGAATAATAACCGAAGTGGTAACTACGCTAATGGCATTTTCCCCACATGTTTCTTTAAAATTTTCAGTAATACAAGAACAAAAATGTTTGTATAATAGCCAAAACACCTTTTATATGCTTTGATGTCGAGAGTGCCAAATTTCTATTTCGTTTCATAGCAAAACTAACTTGAAAGCTAACTGGGTTAGTTTGTCCATAGGATACTTTTTGCAATTCCAAACTTGGAACAAAAACTTCATCCTTTGTGTTCTTTTTTATCATCTTATTTGTTTATAATAAAAGAAATTAACGGCTTTAATTAAAATTTTAGTAAATCCTAATTTAACCTTTGGAGGTTCGCTATTATTTTCAGTTCCAAATAATGTAACTTTTAGCGCTTGATTCAACTGAAGGAAACAGCCAAAGTTTATAAACCATGTGAGCATCATCATTTAGGTTTAAAATTGAAGGACAGAAATTTACGGTATAGAAGACAATATATATTTAAATCATTTTGACAAAAAAGGCGACTGAGCTAAACAGTTACTTTAATAGTGTATAGCGGAAGATTTTTTATTTCCCGTTATATTAAGGTTTTTTAAACATTAATTAGCTTAAGATAAGTTCCCATCTTTGGAGAGCAAAAAAGGAAATAATAAAAAGATTTTTTTCCAATAGGAATTTAATCCTAGTTATTAGAAATAATCGATGGTCCATATTATTATTTACGGCTAAATTTGAAGGGTTGCTTAACTTTTTAAGATTGTACTAAGATTGAGCACTACTGACTTTAGAAGTTTAAACCAAGTATATTATATGTCAAAACATAATGCATTACAAAACTTATAATAAAAGTTCTTCAGGTGGCGAAATAATTTTTTTAGTGTAGCCTAAAGGTTTACAGATAATATAATTACCCAAACTTGTCATAAAATGGTACAAGTATAAAACTTTTCCGTGGCAAGTACAGGGTCCGCAGTTATTATTAAAATATTCATCTCTAAATAGTATTATACGTGGATTTTTTAGTAGAAAAGTCAAACATAAATTTTCATAAGTTAAACTGGATAAGGCTAAAGTGAAGTATAAAAGTAGATTGTGTTTTGTATGATGCCCATTTCAAAATTACCTATCTCACCACATGTAATTTAGTACTACGGATTTTATAAAAATCATTTTTAATTTGTTATCAGTAAATAATATTTATTTATTATTATATAATTACATCGAAGTTAAAAAAAAAGATTACATTGATACATATTTATAAGCTCAGTATAATTACTTTTATAATATTTTCTTACATGAACCCACAGGAGTTTGCACTTCAGTTAAAGTTCCCTTAAGGTTAAAGAGTGATCGCCCAATCAAGAATATTCCTTTTACCATAATATTTTAATTTTTGTTTTTAGCCCCCATCTTTATTTACATCCACTTTATATACTTAAATAAAAATTTTACAGGTGTCTTTATAATTAACAAAGGTTCCTAAATTTAAAACACTGGGCTTTTTATAACTTTTTATCGTGCGTTTAAGGTAGCAACAACACTTAATTAAAGTAACAAGTTTTCATGGAATACGTTAATACAGTCAAAAGATAGAGGTAGAGAAGAAATGTAGTGAAAAATTCACTCTACTTTTACTTTATAATAGAATGAAATAGTTATCAAGTACATCATTAGAAACTTTTACGAAAGGTTGAGAAATTTTTATGCCTAATATAACAAAAAAAAAAATAAGTAAAAAATAAATTTTTTTCTAACAATTGATGCTTGGAGCTTTCGCTTTCTTATTTTTGTTCTTGTTTTTTGTAATTTTCAATTGTGTAGTATACTTTTTAATTATTAGGTAACGTTTGATATATAAGGTTATCTACTGTAATTAAGGTATTTCACTAAAATGAAGTCTGTCGTTAGGCCGGTTGCATAGATACAGCTAATAACTATTAATGCTGTAGATAATAAATTAAAACGAAGAATAGCCTACTTTTGTATACTGAAAACTCGGAATAATAACATAAATATACATATATAAAAGACCATTACTAACTTTTATAAAACGGTCATCAGGCCCCTATAAAATTTATTCGTCAAAAAACTGACAAACTTTCATCTTTCAAAAGTTAAGTTCCAAAGTTAGCTAAATATTTAATTACCCGTACTAGGTTTATTTGCTTCGCAGCGCCCATTTTAAGAAAACTGAAATATCGTAGATGAATAAATGTAAATCTAAAAGGAGCAGTAGAACTTTAAAAAAATCAAAACTAACACAAGTAGCTAAATTTTTACGTTAACCTTTAACACTATTATAAGTTGAACCTGTAAATTACTTTAAAAGTAATCCAGTTCTTCTTTTCATATCGTAAAACATAAAAAACATTGGTTTAATTTAATAAATGAAGAATCTAAACAATTCGATAAGCTAAATAAATTAAATGATATAGGAATAGACTTGAAAATTTCAATATTTGGTCTTTATAAGGTAAATATTTTTTTTGAGCTCTTTTTATAGATTGCAAAAGTCTAGTTACGTTATAGAGTTTGCGAAGCTTCCTAACAGCAAAGTTAATCGTATCTCCTTCACGACAAACAGTAGGCAACACTTAGATATTTGTAAATAATAGTGTGTTAACTATTATCCTTTTACCTTCCTTTTTTACTTGAAAAAAAGAACACTTGCAGACTAACAAATAAAAAATAAAGTAGTTCCTAGGAAGGCCGGTTTAAAATAAGATATAAAGAGATATAGTAAATAAAGATTTAACTAAGGCTAAAATTAATTAAAGTATGTACTTAAAATAAAAATGCTATATAAAAAATAATTAAGCATAAATCTCTTTATTGCGAACTAAAATACGTTTATTTAATATTTGAGATTTTTTGCAAGTTATAAAGTAAAACCTCCTCTTATATATATTCATTTATTGTTTCTAGCTTCGTAAGCATTAATTCAACTATACATTCAACCGTAAACACCAATATTATCGTTTTAAACTTATTTAACTCCTTTGATATTCGCAATTACATTTTAACAATTGTTTAATACAACCCCCCTTTAATTATAACCAAAACTAAAGCGTGATTAGCATGCCCCAAAAGTACGCACGCTAGCAAACCGACCCACTTGGTGTACTAGATTTTCGTCTATAGTAAAACTTATTAGATTAGACAAGGTTAGCCTTCAGGCTGCTTCGTGTTTTGAGTGAACTGTCACTTTTTGAAATAAAAAGAGATTAAAGGCACCGACCTCAAGTTTTTAGTTTTTAGACTTATTAACAAAATTTAGAATGGTATTTTTTATATAGTGACCTTGTTCGATTCTATATTTAAAAATTAACCGAAGATCTATAAGTACAGTTTGTAGTTTACTTTACTTTACTTTATCGTTACGAATTTATATTTTTTAAGTTGTTTCTTAAAAGTACATTATTATATTTTTAAAAGCTCTCCCTTTTTATAATTACACAAAATCAATATTATATTTTTATTAACCTATATTTATCTAAGTATATGTATCATCTAAAATGATAATACCTTTACTTTTTAAAGGTTTTTTTGCTCTAATATTTTGAAAGTTATGTTTTTTTTTCAAAATTTAGCCATATTTTAAATGAAAGTTTTATATCTGCACTAAAATGTTACTCTTTATTTTTATAAAAATCTTATATTTTTATAACGTAGTTAGCATAATGTTAAGTTCTTATTTACATAATGCAATAGTCTATTGTTGACTACAATATTATAAACATATAATACTCTTCTCCGCTTTATATTTATTTGTTTTATTTATAGATGGAAACTTAATTCACACGAAACTAATCTTATCAATTAATTTATTCGTGTTTAGCATTATGCAAAGTAACTTTAATATTAAAAATATCTTATAAAGTTTCTTTAATTATTTCTTGTTATTTTATTACTCTGTTTTTGCTTTTATTGAAAAGTTACGATGTAAAAAACTACTGTTGTCTCATATATTTATTAAGTTTAAATAAAGTTTAAATTAGTATATTATTATTAATAATAATATATATAATTGTTTAATAATTTATTTTAATTTTTTAACCAATGACAATTAATTATTTTTATTTTTAAAATTTTTTTTAAGTACTATTTTATTTTGAGGTAATGCTATAACAACTATAATATTTATAAGTATAAATTTTTAAATTAATTTTTTTTAAAATTTTTTAATCTTTTCAAGAGTTTTTTTTATTGCAGTTATAAGTTTATTAAGATAATAATTTTTAACTTTTTTTAAAGCTGAAAATTTAACTTTATTTATTAAATTGAACAATACGCGTAAACTTTTTGTATGGTTTTTTGTTATAATTTTTAATTGTTTTCTAGTATAGTCTATAAAAAATAAATAACTTTTCATACATCGTTGTAACATATCATAAATTATTTAAAAAATATTGGATTATATAAAGTATATGTATTTTTGTAATAACATTATAAATCTACAATAGTTAAAAAATAAGTATTTATAACTCATTAACTGGTAAACGCCAAACCTTGTAGTCTGCAGATCATAAAAAACGAGAAAACATTGTTGATATGTCCAAATTTTTGGATAAGTCAATACGTGTAAAATTCCAAGGGGGAAGAGAAGGTGAAGATTTATTTCCTTTTTCAATAATTTTTTTATAACGATTAAATTAAATTATTTAATTTTTTTTTAAAAAGTTATTGGTGTACTAAAAGGGCAAGATCCTTTATTAAATTTAGTACTTGATAACGCAGAGGAATTATTACATGGTTAAGCTTTTTCTATATATTTTATCTTAAAATTATGTTATATTAAGTAGATCCGGAAGATTTCAGCATTTTATTAGAAGAACGGCGCTCGCTGGGCCTTGTTGTTTGTAGAGGCACAGCAGTTGTTTTAATTTGTCCTACCGAAGGAATGGAGGAGATTACCAATCCCTTTGTACAGGAAGAAGAAGTAGAATAATAAAATTAAAATATTAAAAATTTGAAATTAAAATATTGAACTATAGTTAGAAATACCTAACAAATAAATATTTTCAGTCATCTTAACTTTATTTGAGTATATTAGAAAAGCATAATTTTTAATAACAAGAAAGTTTGAAACAATTAAATAACTTTAAATTAAAGTACAAGATTAAAATTTTATGGTAAAAAAAAAGTTAAATAAACAACTCAGTAATATCTTTTCTATAACTTTTCTCAATAATTTTTGTATAACTGCTTAATGGTGACATCGCGTTAGAAAAATTACAAACATTTTATGCAACTGTGATTCATGCTAGTGTTTCCCAAAGTAAATTTTATATAATAACTTTATAAATCAGTAAAAGTTTACGCTTGACTAGTAAAAAAGTCAGCAGGATTTAAAATAATTATCCTTAAAAACTTATTTAGCACAGTTATTAATTACTAAAATAATTATATAAGTTTAACCTTGAAATCTGTTCAATCTAAATTTAAGCAAAAATTATAAAACTGATGTAGTGGATAGTTATTTAAGCATTCTTTAACGGTGAAAGTATAATTAACGTAAGTGTTTGCTAGAATGTAGTCATAAAATATATTATGTAGAATTAAGTTTATAAAGTTTATATGTAATTTCATTTATGCAAAATAAGAAAATGCGTAGCGAACAAAACTTATAAGGTAATATTTTGCTGCTATTAAGAAAAACATGCACGTTCACGTTAAAAAAATCACGCAATACTGTTTAAAAAAAATTTTATTTCCAAAGTTTGCGTCGTTGTAAAGACGGAGAGGAAGGGTAAATTTATAATTATTACCGAGTTCTGAGCCTAACACATGGCGAGAAAGCAAAAAATATATCGCAGATACGACAATAAGCTGCGGATATCGCTAAATATATAATTTTTTCTTTAAAATAATTATTCACAAATAACAAAAGCTTAGAATAGAGTAGAACGGTATAAGAAGCTTTATGCAAAACTTTTTAAAAACAGCAAGGTTACATCGTACCACTGAGGCCTTATGAAAACGAGGCATGTATGTAAGTTATTAATATGAAATAACTACTGCATCATAATGCTAACGATAATAGTAACAAAGGAATACTTTATAGACGCTTTCTGTTTAGCTTCTTATCCGCTTTACTTAATTAAAAATAGTGTATATCAATATATTTGGAAACTTCGCTCTTTTATAAAGACTACTGCTAAATTGTATATATTGAGTATAGTATATTTTTTGAGATAATACACAACTTATACACGGTTACTCTAATCTCCTTAATAATTTTCCTTTTTACGTTATACAATGTAGAGCCATCAAAGTTACTAAATAACAAAAATAGTGAAAAATTGAAAAAAAAATATATTTCAAATTAAAAAGTAAAATATCCTAAATTAAACTTTTATCTTCATTGGAAATTCTCCTATGCTTAAGAAATTTTTAGTAATAACAATTATAGTTTCAAAAGCGCAATTAGTAGTTATAAAAAGTATTGTGATAAAGGGTTTTCATACTCTTTAATGCTTTTCAAAATATAAGAATAAAAAAACTTAATAATATTTTGATGTCAACTTTTTATATGTATAAAGGAAAAGAACTATATAAGTGGATAGTATAAAAAAGGTCAACAAGTTAATGTTATCGCAGTTATTTCTTTAAATTAAGATTTTATTTGTTTTAAAATTTGTTAGTAAAATAAATGATATACTTATTTACAGCATAACATCTCCTTGTTAACGTAGAATTAATACGCAGATAGCTCTATATAAAACTCGTTTCTTCTCTTTACCTTTTAATTTTTTTTTTTTTAAAAGTATATTAATAGTGAGCAGTTATTTAATACACTGTGCAGAAAGTAAATAAGAAAAATATAAGGGAAAAGAGAGCAAATTTTTCATAACTATAACTACCTTAAAAAGTAAATTTTTTTATATCACTAAATTTACACAAATTTCATGTTATTATAATTATTTAAAACAAGGAATGAAAGTATTTAATCGCAAAAAATTCTAGATTACAAAAAAATAAAAAATCAAGCAGGATGCGTATTGTAAATGTCCAATGATTTGTCAGTAATTAGTCATTTTATGGTACTGGTTAAACCATGTAAGAAAATATGTAGGACATAACGTGAAACCTTACTTTTTATATTTCACTTTAGAAGTAGCTAACGTACATCTGTACTCAAGTTATTTATTTATCTTCTGTTTTACTAATAATTAAAAAATAACTATCATATTATTAAATTAAAAATCTTCAGGAATTTTTTTTTAAGCGCGTATAAACTATTGTCTTCAAAAAGATATTTTAAAATAAAAAATTCTATAATGCGGTGCGCCTGCTTATAGGTGTAATAAATTAAATAATTTAAATATAATGTAGTAAGCATATTCAAAAGAGTAACGTAAAGCCTCATAACGGGGACCAAAATTAACTGATAGAAAACCGACAGTTACCTGAAATAGTGATATTATAACAATAATATTGACCACATAAAAAACTATATTGTTAATAGTGTTTCAGTACTTTTTCCAATAATTGCCAGCATACAGGCCTTTATAAATCATGCAGTGTTAGGTAAACAAATAACAAGTGGATGTACAATTATGATAAACAATGTTACTTATGGGCGCATACTTCCCGTTCAAGGTCTTAAAAAAAAATTCTACAACTGCTACATATTTGATTATAAAAAAAATGTTATTAATTAAAAAGAAAATTGGTTTAACAAATAATAATTGTTACATTTCCATAAAAATTCGTTAATTTTTTCAATTACGCCAAGTAAACCTTGCATATTTAACGTATACCTTTTTTCCTACATAGTAAAAAAGTTACTTAGTTATCTATTAGTTTTTGAAAATGTTTATAACATAGTATAGAGTTACCGTAGTAAGTTAAGTAGTTAAAAAACTTCGTCTAAACTTTGGCAGTAAAGTATGTTTTGTATATTAAGCGAAAGGATTAAGGTTTATAGACTCGAGCATTTCTTTATTCATCTCATAGTCACTCAGTTTATTGTCTTGAAGGCTCCACGGGCGTGAATTAGTATAATCTCTCCTTCACTCTTAGACCCCAATTCCTTTTATTTAAAACTTTCGTTTCACTCTTTGATTAAAAAAAAATTTCTTAAACCATATATGTTTAATAATTATAATATATTACTAACAATCATGTAAGCCCGTAGGCGGGTTTACTGGTAATCCTGTTAGTTAATTTAACTAACTAGCTATTAGAATGCTACTGGATTAGGTTAAGCACCAGTTAGCTTTTAATAAAAAATTGTCTCACGGTGTACCCTATATACTTTACGCGTTTATTAGATGATAATACATTATATACCACAAAGGGTTTCAAAACTAAAGTGAGCGAATCAGCACTTTTAACAATATCATAGAAGTCTCCAGGACACCCACCAAACGCATTTTGGCGTTGTAAGTAATTGTAAGGATATAAAATGAGGCAGGTACAATCTCCTTTGAGATTTGTGAAAAACAAATCTTTATTTTAAAAGCGAAAAACTAATCTTTTTTAATTAATATAAAAGGAAAAAAAGAAGTTCAAGGTAAATAACACCAAAATCGTAAGTTAGTTCATATTATAGATCTTAAAAAAATACTCTACCCAATTGTTTAAAAGTCATTGGTTGTTACAGATTTGTTTGTATACTTCCAAATTAATTAAAAAGTAAGTGCTCAAAGTAGAAACCTATAAAAAAACTGTATTCGAGAAAATAGTTAAACCTTTTTATAAGCGTGAGATATGTATTAATCACGGTTACCAATAAAATACATAAGATCATGTTTTATTTAATGTTAGCAAATTAAACAAATACTTAGTATAACCGACTTACAATTCACCTAGTACATTACACTTTGATAAAAACTTTAGTAATCACTGGTTTTATCTAACCAAAAAGAATAAATGAATTCATAATTATAAAGAGTGGTTGCCCCGTCTATCTTTATATTAAAATTTATTAATCGTAAGGGCGACAAGCGAGGCTGTTAAAGTTTTTTTTTAAAAAAGGATACAAAAATTAAAAAGTAACTCCAGGAAAAATACAACCTAAATGTCGAAATTTTTATGGTTAATTTAAATATGTAATAATACTATTAAAACTTGTCAAATCTCTTTCAGATTGTCAAAAAAATTAACAACTGTTATACGTGTACAGCGAGCAAGTAGTGATCGCTTCTAAAAAAATTATTATATTTAAATCATTTTTTACTTGTTTAAAGAAAATAATTTTTTAACGTAAGCCAATATAGCTTTAAAAAAATTTATCCTATTGCGTTTCGGTTAAACCCCTTTCCAAAAATTAAAAAACGCACTTTTGTAATGGTATTAACACTGTGATTATTTGCTGCTTCACACTATATTTTGTAGTTACTATAAAAGTGAAAAATTTAATTGCAAATTGTAGAAAAACTGAAAAAAAAATTATAGATTTTATTATTTCTTATAAAACTAATAATTGATAATTAATACATGAGCATTAAAAAAAATAACAGTAAAACAATTTTTTCCACACGTCAACAAACTGTTTAAACTTTATAATAAAATATGTCCGTAAAAAAATATAAATGCACTTTCTTACTAAGAAGCAAATTTAACCACGTTTATATAAAACGCTTTACTCAGCAAATTTTGGAAACAGGCAAAAATGATTAATGTGATAATCATACTTTTTTAAGAAAATAAAAAAATGCGAAAATTTTAGGAAAATAACTCAGCAAATAAAAAAAAACCAAAATTATTCTAATCCATTTAAATTAAAATCTACCAAATTAACTTTTCAATTGGCTGATTAATTTTTTTTCTTATTGTCATTTTTTTTTTTGCATTATAAATATTATTTGGGTAAGCGATGGTTCACTGGTATCCTTTCTTCGTGTTTCCCCGTGCATTTTTTTAACTACCGAGCGCGCTAAGTCCTTTTCTAGGTCTTTTTATTAATTTTTGAGATA